TATATAATCGTTTTCCTTGATAAAACATAAATTTAATAATTGTTCGATGTTCGAAAAATATTAGATATATGTCTATAATGTATATGGGTATAAAGTATATCAACACGTTCATCTAATCAACTATGAAAATGTAATATGATTGTCTATCATCTTGTCATCAGCCTATTGTCAGTTTATGGGTGTGGTTTAGATTTTCGAGGCCAAGGTAATGATATATTATCTTACTGATAGTTGCTATTGATCAACCTTCATTGTGATCATTGATAGATATGATAAATAGAAAAGAAGTTGTTTTTCTTTTTGTTTTTTGAAGGTCAGGCACTTGTATAGTAGATCATATCAAAATCTAGTTGTATTAATTTAATACTTTTCGATTTAAAGTATAAATCTCTCATTGTATCTTCCTATCGATACTACATAAAATATACTAACGAGACAAACCTTCCCAAATGCTATCGTCTGATTTCAATGTTTTGTTGTTAACTATAAATGCTACATAGTGCCTTATTAAAAATCTTTAAATCATTTGTATATTTATCTCTTCTTTCAAAATTTACTAAAATATTTAATTTCTTTCTATAGTACATAAAATATAATATTCAAAAAAAAAAACTCTTTAGTCAATAAAAACAGAAAGTTTTTTTTTCATATCTATTATATTTACACAAATGATAAAAAGATTCATGACTATTATTATTGATGACAAAAGAGTGTTTCATAAATATTTACCTCAAGTTATATTATTCAAAAGAAATTGCACTCAATTTATATCAATCCTAAGAAAGTCATTGCATTAGTAAAAATATTGAAAATATGTTTCTCTGTCAGGATTAAGAAAACTTGTCATTATTCATTTACTTTGAATTACTTTTATTGTTCTGTTTTTGTTAAAGGCTATTCAAGTGAGAGAAAATTTATCTTCACATACATATAAAAGACAACAATATCATAATATTATGCTTGAATTAGAAGAACAGAAGTTTAGAGATTAAATGTTTTAATTTATCGGTATCAGAATAAGTTACATGCATGGAATATTGACACAAAACTAGTTACAATGGTTCATGGTGACTTATTATATGTCACTGTGACCTGAAATACTTTTATTAACCCGAAAAAAAAATGAATGTTTAAAAAATTCTCTCACATAAGTAGCATGCTATAACAATAACAATATGATAAAAATAACTTGTAGTGAGTAAACGATTGACTATTATTTTTAAACTATAATTATATTCTTATCTTAAAATATAATGAATAACGATCCGATGCATTCATTTATGATACTTTGATATTTTCGATACGAATCTTCAATACTATATCTTTCATATTTTTACTATCTATCTTTAAATATGACAAAAATAAAAAATAAAACTAAGGCTAATACTTCTAGAACATTCTTTATATGTTTATAAGAATGATTTTAATTTATTACAGAATCGATGAGATTAGAATGTAAATTCTTCTGTTTTTTTTTAATAATTAAAAACGCTATGAATATGAATAGTAGTTCTACTAAATGACAACAAAATGGTTAGTAAAGAAATCTCATAGATCAAAGTGAACAATATATTATAATACATGGTGAAAAAAAACAACAAGAAACAATACCTTTTACAGTCAAAATCCAAGAATATGTGTTATAGACAATAATGGTGAAAAAAAAAATAATAAACATATGTGTCACATATGTTGGAATATGACTAATGAGAGAATGTCAGAAACATACTAGTAAAACAGGAAAGAAAAATAACAAGTATGCAGTAACTAGACCACTATAGAACAATAACTTCATCCTATAACACTATAATAATCATTACAACAAACATATATAATCAACGACAATGAAGATAAATCTTTTTTCTACATGTAGCAATGTGTTGTTATATGGTGTTTCTTCAGAAAGCAAAAAAAAACAATTTTCTAACTTATAATTTGCCGTTTTCTTTTTTTTTTATTGACAGATTGATTTTTTATATATTGTATGCTATGCACTAGAGGGATAAAATAAATATATTAGTAACTTTTGCAGAAAGAGATAACAACTGAAATGCTTTAAAGGTTTTTCCTAGAGCACTATATAGTATTTTTAGACAAAAGTAATGTACAAAATACATGACAGATGATTATCTCGTAAACTTTGGAATTTTATTTGAACTTGATAGATCTAAAGATTAAATCATAATTATCATTAGTAAACAGACTATGAAAAAAATCGTATATCGATAAGAGTAGAAAGTTTTTTAACATCATTAACGATTCTTTTTAATATTAATTATTTATTATTTAAATATGAATAATTTTTCTTTTTCTTACCCTTAATTTTGACAAGTTTTTTTTTTTTTTTAAATTTTAACATTAGAGAATGGATAATTGATTAAATAACTTAGAATCGATCAATGTTCATGATATGTCAACAAAAGAAAAGAATCGCATCAAAAGAATTTCTATATACATTAATTTCTCTTGAGTTTTTACTTCTATTATATGCTTTTCAATGATACTTATACTTGAAATTGCTTTTAAAGGATAATTAAATAATTATTTCCTACCTATTGAATATTATATCGATAATATTTCCATCTATTCAAAATTACATTGAACTACTGAGAAAAATTCAAGTAGATAAAATTAAATATTTCATTTCCGTTTGTTTACTATTTATATTCTATTCATATCGTTTCCTTTCTAATTTGTTGTTTGTAATTGTTAGGTTATTGACTTGTAATGAAGTATCTATTGTCATAGTTATACAAGGACAAAGTATTATTATTTATATCCAACGATATTAATTAATAATATAGCCTAATAGAAATTTAAAAACCTATGATTAATTATCGAAACATATAATTGAAAATACATAAATGACATATTTTATTCTTATGAACAGATGTTTGCATATGTAAACGTTAAAAATAAATAAAGCTTAGCTTTAATTTATGTTGAGATAAGATGAATAGCTCATAGAGTATTTTCTTTTTTTTGCATATATATTAGTTTAATGCAATCTTTTCTATTGATCTATCGATAAAATTTTATTTGCAAAAATTAATTTATTAAAAATTTAATTTCGAAAAACTTAATAAAACTCTATCATATGCCTAGAAATTATTTGCATTCGTATTTTAATTCATTAATCATTCGATAGAAGTATTATAACTATTTTCAAGCTGTCAAAGTTGTCTTCCTAATCATAAAGTCAGCTAAACGACAGATGTTATGTGACAGAAAAACTGATTCATTATTTTTCTACATTCAAAAGTTTCATTTCAATCAGTGAATACAGTACTTCAGCTGTAATACGAGCTTCATTACTGATATCACTATTATTAATAATCAGTTGATTAAAATTTTCTGTAGATGTATATTCGATTTGACAATCAAGTTTTCTCTTTAAAAATCGATTAATCAATACAGCAATGTAAAACTTTATGTGAATTGAGAGGATATGGTAAAATTTTCAATTTCACACCATAATATTCGAGAGAAATATTTAACAAACAAGGATAAAAAAATTTATTTAATTTCTTTTTGTTGAAAAAAGTATATTGGACTGTACGGCATGACAGAGTTCTATTTTGTTGTTAATTTCTTACTTTTTAATTCAATATTTCTAAAAACTAAAAATATGATGCACCAATTATTGAAGTACTCTTTTACATGATTGTAACAAACGCTTAATTAAAAAACAAAAAAGAACTTTGTCATGCATTGCATCTTGACATATGCTTTCAAATTAAAAAAATTGGATGTATAGAATGAAAGCTCATAGAAAATTGTGAAAATTATATAAAACTAGAACTAAGATTGTCTGTTCATTCATAATTTTTGAATAACAACTGTCAGATAACAAAACTTTCAATTCAAAAAATTTTGTGGACTTCGAATTTGACTTATTCCAGAGCTTTAGCACAAATTCTTCTAGTCTTATCTCACAAGTTAGGTCTTTCAATTGATAAGTCCCTTTTGAGTCGAGACTATATATATTACGTAGACATAAATAGGCTATCAATATTCAGAAAAGAGTTCTTACCATTAGCTTAATGGTACAAAAATATTGCATTTTTACGGTATTTTTTTTTTGAAAATTGATGTCGTGATCTAGAAAAATTGATTTTCGTCTTGAAACATTGCATCGAGATAAGTATGAATGAGAGTAGTTTCAGGTCTTTTGATTTTCTTCTGTCCTGAAATGAGAATTTCGAATTTGCTGATGTATATGTTGTAATGTAAACGTCACGCTGTTACTATAGTTGTATCTTAGGATAGGAACAGCAAGAAGACCTGAAACATTCATAATAGAACTAATCTCGTTAATGTTTGTCTTTACGCAAAGTTTCAAGTGGACACTCGAAAATGAGCTATTCTGCCTTACATCATTTATTTAAAAAATAACATAAAAGTCTAATGTCTTTATAAGATATTGAATTTCCAAAAATAGTCCTTTGCCATAGATATATCACAAAAATCAAATTCAACAATGAAACATTTTTTTCGGCTGAAATATCTATGATATTATAAAAGTCATTAAACTTATTCATAGTCAAAATCTTGAATCAAAACGCCATTATTCGATGTTCTGGAAAGTACATAAAAATGGTTCAAAAGCCAAGTCAATCAGTGATAATGTAGTGTCAAAGGTCAAGATGGACGAACTTTTATAAACTGTTGTTATTCTCATTGAGACTTGCCTATAGGTCCAATATGACCTTAAACGGTGTGTACATAATCTCAACTTAAAAGCTATTGAACAGTTGGAGAACTTCTCTCGTCATTTCTCTTTTTTATAATCAAAACATTATGTAAAAACTTGAAACAAAAATATTTCCTCATCATCAATATTATTCTTGAGTGATTTTAAATATTATAATAAAAGATTAAAGTGTTTTCTTAGCATATTTTATTAATTATCACAATTCATGTAACTAAAGTTTAAATTTCTACACAAACTAATACAAATCTATTAAATGCACAACAATAAAGAAGAACTATATTTGTCTTTAAAAATGAGCTAGTAAGATAAGAGTAGTAATGATAAAACATACATAATTATAACCGTAATTATTATTACCATTATTAATTACATTTTTCAATGAATTTCGTTCATCTGTCTCATATGTCACAGAATTTTCAAATGATACATCACTAGTAGTTTCATGAGTTGAACCATCGACATTATTTTTTGATACAGAAGTTTCAGTATTATCAATATCTAGTTCCACTTGAAATGTACCTTCTGTATTGATAGTTTCTGTTTCAGAATCTTTTAATAAATCAGCTTGTATTTGATAGATGATAGTAATAATAATAAAAAAACCGATCAAAGATATCCAATGCATTATTATTAACTATATTGAATTGAATATATATTATTGAAAAGACAAAGATTGAATAATAAAAAAAAATCGACTGATTTACTTATTTGAATGAAAATGAACAATGGATGACAAAGAGAACAAGAGCATTAGATCAATATCAATGACCTTTACTTTTACTTTTTTTTCTTTTTTTTTTTTTTAGACAACAATCGATAGCAACAAACAATATACAAACGAAAAGAAAAAGACGGAAAGAAAGAGAAAGTGAATATCAAATAGTTCATCAACCTGCAACTTACCCGTTCATTGAATCAATATAAATGAAAGAATTATAATTATATATGAAGTGTATGATATACATGTAGGAAGCACTAACAATTGCTTGCCAACATAGTTATTCAATGGACAAGCAAATAAATGTGATGGTTAAATAAAGAAAAGAACAAGAGTTCTCTCTAATGAAAACATTCACATCGAATTATATAACTCTTTTTTTTTTGTTTACTTGAGTTGTTTAATCCTTTTTGTTTTTTAATGATCAAAATTTGAATAATCAAGTCGAACTTTATTCAAAAGTTTCAATTCAATAAACATTTGAATATAAAGAAAAAAAAAGCAGATGTGTAACGATATAACTTACATCAAAGAAACCATTCAAGTAAACTTATAGATACTTACTTTGATATGTATTCAACCTCATTAAATTATGTAAAGACAGAAAACAAATTAGGTGAAATCAAATTAAAAATTTTTCTTTATAAGATTTATTTCTTTGTATTAATGAACATATCTAGTGTGCTTTATAAACATTTGAATATCATTTATTAAAAATTAATTTGTTGAAATATGATAGAACGAAAGTCAAATGCCTGAAAAACTTATAGAATATAATGGCGTAATAATATAAAGATTGACAACAAGATAGATGTGTCACTAGAAAATTAATATTTATTTTTCCAATAACTGATCACATTGTGCATACATGAGTAACTGTATCCACCGATGTAGTCAACGTGTTATCGAACAGGTAATTTAGAACAAAAACACCGGTAGTAATTCATCGAGAATCATTGTATAGGTGGTAATACCGATATTTGAACATAAGTGTCGAACAACTTGGAAGTATTTATTCCATTTTTTTTAAAGTATTTTTAGTGAAGTTATAAAATCTCTTTCTTGAAGATATCTATGACAAGTAAAGAATAATATTCCATCTTATATTTTAAAAAACGTTCTAAAATAAGTGTTGAAATATATAAGGTACAAATTTGCACTTCGTACCTTCACATATCATGAAATATGAAATCAACAGACCGTGACTGACGTATTCACCATACTTCCATGCATTCACATATCGCTTAGAGCGACAGATGTTGTTGATTAAGTCAGAGTATGGCGAAGGAACGTGTCCTAAAATAGACAGAATAAAACAATCTTCTTGTCGCATTCTCTGTCACATTTTTATTTCATAGGGATAGCCATTATTTTGCTTGCTGCACTACTAATACATAGATAATCAAATAGATGTCTCATAGGATGCACATCTTCAATATACACCATTATTTGGTATCACTAAGAAAACTCGATAAAAAAATGATGAGTCCTATATTCAAAGAAATAAACTTCATTAGGCTTCATAATGTCGTCAATTTTCCATTAATTATTAGATAACATCACTGTGAAATGTCTGTATTTCAATATACACCATGAAGATGCAATTATTAAACGAATGTACACAACAAATGCCTGTCACACATCGTTAGTTTCTTACATACTATAACCATGTAAAGAGTACATACTAAAAAGAATGATCAATTATCATCAACATCGACGATATATTCTAAATCAATGTCTTCTTTCCATATTCATTTTTATAGTCGTATTTCTAGTAGTTTCTATAGCTTTTCTGTTTTTCTTTATTCAAAAAGAAAAACAACATGTTATAAAAGCTGATATCAATTTTCTAGACGCACGAAGTCGACGTATTCAAAAATTATTCAATAAAATCTATGGAAATATCTCTCAATGGAATTTAACATTGTGTAGTCATGCATCCCATCATCGTGGACCACATCAAAAAGTAATTGCTATTTCAGTTTATGGAAAAGAATCGAAATTTACTAATAATCAAATGTATTCATGGGAAACAAGTATTATACCATTTTTTGAACTTCTTGTTAATGAAATTAATACATTACTTCCACAATGGATTTTACGTCTTTATATCGATTTTTCTGGTAGTAAAAAATCTCAACAAGAATATTTTTATAATTTTTCAAGTGTTGATATTTGTGATATGACTAATATACCTATGTTTGGTTCATCTTTACATAAATTTTTACCAGGTAAAATGTGGCGATTTTTACCAATATTTGATCCCTATGTTGATTATTTATTATCACGTGATCTTGATTCACCAATAACTCAACGTGAAACAGAAACAATCAACATGTGGCTATCACAAGAACAAGAAAACAATTTTTTCTATATTGCTCGTGATAATATTGAACATGGATTATTTATATTAGGTGGTCTTTGGGGTGCAGCTTTGATACGTGCTCGGCATACTTTAGTTAATATTTTCAAGCCAATGCTTATACCATCAATAGTTAAGAATTATCATGATAGAGGTGATCAGAGATTTCTTATCAATTATGTTGCAGGTCATGTTAAAGATAATTCTCTAATATTTGATAGTTACTTTTGTGAGAAATTTGGTGGTCAACCATTTCTTTCGCAACGATCAATGAATGGTTGTTATCTTGGATGTATAAGACCATGTTGTAGTAATGCAACAAATGTTAAGTTTCATGGAACTCAAATGCCTTGTCCTATCAAATGTAGACCAAAGGAACATCTCGATTGGATTTATTGTTAATATTTATATTGTTTAACAAGTCATTTTCATTTATTTGAATACAAAATAAAAATAATCCAATTATTTAGATTCTTTCTTTGAAGAAAATCAGAGACGCCGCTAGGGAAGGAAGGGTGTGGGTGTGGGTATGGAGTGTCAAGTGTGAGTCTTATCTTCAGCTACACCCAACCGCACCCGCACCCGCACCCGCACCCGCACCCGCACCCACACACCCACATCGCATACCCACACTCCCCCACACCCTAATAAGCGTTTATTATATTTGGCTCACATTTTTGTGCAGTATGAAGCTAGTACGATTCAACAAAAAAATAGCAGCTTTTGTCAGAAGATGTACATTTAATTAAAACACGCCATTACTTGTTTTTGCATGATTCCGACTCTCGAAAGCAAAAGTTTTCGATTTATTTTAGTGACATATAAGAAAATAATGAAACAGCAGTGCTAACAAAAAACATGGAATTGTCATATAGGCTCACTAATTTTGTTGAAAATGTACTTTAGGTATGTAAGCTACGTCATCAAAGACGAGGAAATCTTTACATGGCTTTTAGTCTATCTAGCTTGAATTTTTCGTATAGTTTTTTCACACCTATAATAAATTAATAATACCTAGAGTATTAAAAAGAGATAACTACTTCTCACCGAAAAATGTTCGCCTTTGTACAAAAATTTCAATTTCCATCGAAATTTATCTATTCGAGGAAATGAAAAACAAATGTTTGAGCCTATCCCAACCGACAATACCTGAATCTAGGATAGGCTTTAGCCTACACAAGTCTCATGGCTTTGCCACTAATACGTCTGAATAGTTTCTCTGTATGCCTGTGCTCGTATCTCTTCGAATGGAAACAAAAAGGAGATACTCTTTTCTTATTATGGCATTTCTTTGTTTGGCCAAATGAAAAGAAAATTAGATATTCTTTTTTTTTTACATATTCGAGAATATTGCTATATAATTGAAAATCCAGATAATTTGCAATTAGGAAATCTTCTATTATTTAAAGAATTTGTTCACGATATGAAACAGCTTTCACGTGTTCTTCACTCTTAGAAGACACTATTTCAATGTGTTTATAAGAAGCAGCCAAATCAGGATGATTTGAAGGAAGAATTTCTCGGCGAATAGCCAATGCTTTTTGATGATATGAAAGTGCTTTCGAATAGTCACCCATGCTGTCATACACGGAACCAATGTTGTTGTAAGAAGTAGCCAAACTCGGATGATTTGAAGGAAGAGTTTTTTGGCACATATCCAATGCTTTTTGGTAAGACGAAAGTGCATTCGAATAGTCACCCATGCTATTATACACCGAACCGATGTTATTGTAAGAAGTAGCCAAATCAGGATGATTTGAAGGAAGAGTTTTTTGGCAAAGATCCAACGCTTTTTGATGATATAAAAGTGCATTCGAGTAGTCACCCATGCTGTCATGCACCGAACCGATGTTGTTATAAGAAGTAGCCAAATCAGGATGATTTGAAGGAAGAGTTCTTTGACAAATATCTGTTGCTTTTTGATGATAAAATAGTGCTTTCGAATAGTCACCTATGCTATTATACACCAAACCAATGCTGTTGTAGGAAGTAGCCAAATCAGGATGATATGAAGGAAGAATTTTATGACGAATATCCAATGCTTTTTGGTGAGATAAAAGTGCATTCGCAAAGTTACCCATGTTGCCATACAGTAAACCAATGTTATTGTAAGAAGTAGCCAAACTTGGATGTGCTAATGGAAGAGTTTTCTGTTCGATTTCCAGTGCTTTTTGATGATATGAAAGTGCATTCGAATAGTCACCGATATTATCATACACCAAACCCATATTGCTGTAGGAACGAGCCAAGTTGGCATCCATTGGTGAAAGAACGTCTTTATTGATTTCAATCGAACGTTGATAATAAGCCATGGCATCTGTATATTCACCCTGATTATTCTTTATCACTCCGAGCCTATGATAAATGACTGCTTTCTCTTGATAAGTCGTTGTTTGATTTAACAACGTGTCATATACCTCTTGAGCATTGTTGAACTGCCCAAGCTTAATCAGCAATACGCCTAAACGGTCCCATCCTTCTGCATCAGAGCAAGTATCTTTGCGTATACTTTCAGTAAGTTCATGGAGTTCTGGATCGTTGTCACTTGTCAACGTTAAATCGATTTGCCAAAGACGATTATTCTCATTGATTTGTTTCATTGTTTCAATTCGAAAAACCGAATGCATGGAGAAGAGAATTTCTTCTTCGCCTTCGAAGTAACTGATGTCACGAATGTTTGCGAAAGGAGTACTCGATACTGATGGATTGACATTTATTTTAAAGAGAACACCTATAAGATCAGAACCAATTTGATTACTTTGTGCAAAGGAAAGAGATATTTCTCGATCAAGACTTGTTGACAAGGGATTATTAAATGACAGTAGTCCACCATTGATTTTGATCATTTGATCAAACTGTATCTGTGACAAACCTTGACCACGATAAACAGTAAATGAACTCATTGGCGCATGTTCAGCAAACTGTTGAGCATGAAGCTCAGCGATGTTGTTGTGAAGATCTCGGATGAAAAATCCCATCTTAATGATGAGGTCGACGTCCATTATCTTTAATGATCGGTTGAAAATTGGATAAAGAAAACAACTGTATGTATACCACCATATTGGGACATGTTCGTGGTATTCCCGTTCAATTCTATCGATACTTTGCAGTTCTCTGGGATTGTTGACAAATAACTGACGAAAATAATTTATAAATTCATCAATATGGTTTTGTTTGAAATCAATGGTTAAAAAAATTTCTTTCATTATTTGAGTATACATAAACGACGAGTCTAGTTGATCGAGCTTTCGCTTGTTGATTTCACTACTAGTATAGATAAAACTGATTGGTATCAAGTTTTGGTTACATTTGTATGCAGCTTGTTGAATTGCTCTGTACATTAAGGCAATATGTGTAAATATACCGTTGATTTTTGGAAATTGTTGGATCCAAGATTCGTACTCAGTATAGTCCTCATTCCAAACATAAATATTACTGATTTGCGGAATGTCATGGACAATACAAGCTATTGTTTGTCCCAAGTAACCAGAAAAGATCATAAATACTTCCTCTTCTTGAATGTCGGTTATGAAATCGATACATTCATTCACATCAGTGAATCGATGTATCGTGTACACCACTTCTTTTAATTTGCTGATGTTATCTGTACAATCGTCCTTATTCATATTATCAATATTGGTATCTAGCCACACCAATAGGAAGTGTTGAACCATACGACTATAGGGAGGCCGTCGTAACATTATGCTCGTATATTCAGATGCCGTACCAGTAGCAGCGTCAGCGGTAGCAGTTATTGTTGTTGTCGACTGTTCGTTATTATCCATAGCATGCGTCGTGTTTTGTCAATAAAAAAAATGGCTTGCGTTTGTATCACATCATTGACTTTTCTTTCGTGATATTTCTATGTTTTTTTGTCGAATGTTGTTTTTATTCAAGTTGGCTTTCTCCTTTTCGTTTCACTTCAATGCTTCACTCCTCTTTTCTATTTGTGATTATATATAGCGTCACAAGAAAACGAAAGCATGATAAAAAGTGAGTCATTGCATCATGATTTCATATGCTGTGTCACATTTCACTTTCTTTTTAGAAGATTTGGAAGTTCGTTTTTCCTTTTCCTTCTGATGTCGTAATCATAGCGATAATGTTTAGTGTTACCGCACAAGGTCTGCTGACAGCTCTAATAGGAGTACTCTAAAAATTCATTGTTTTTATGTTCAGCAAACGGCCAAACTTCTAGGAAAGCGTGTACCCACAGAATTTCAAGATTGCGAATAAGTAAGGCTCATTTACAACGATTTGTGTTCAATTTGTACAGAATTTTAATATGAAACATGATAAACTTCCTTAAAAAATGCATTGATGAAAAATTTTATATCTGAGCAGCAAAATTTTGTCACATGCTTTTCTAAATTCTTTTCTCATTGTACTCAAATAGTTTTTTTTCTAGAAGATACTAATACATGATTAGATTTTCCAATTAGCCATTAAAAGGAAAGACATTCTATCTAATGAACAATAGCAGCCATCGCTCCACAATTACAGTGCATGCTGAGCTCATTTCTCAAAAGAAGCATTCATTTTTCGTGAAAGAAAAATGCATTAAGTTGAGCAAATAGATAATTCAAACTATTCAAAGCAGGCTTATCATCATTTTATTTATTTTATTACGTCAATCTTTTTTCTTTTCTTTCTTATCAATATCAGTTTCTTTTCTTCTCGTATAAAATTCATTTTATTCGAAATAAAACATTACGGACAATATTTTTTACAGTTTTCTGTTTTAAATAATAGAACAATACACAAACACATATACAATTTTAAAAAAAAGAAAATGTATTGCAGCTGAATTAAATATAATAATTAAGAAAAAAAGACATAGGATTTTATTATAAGCTATCATTATTTCAAGTTTATGCATTTACAAATAAAATGCATTCAGTTTAAATCCTTTTTCTTTGGTAATTCATTTAAGTAATTACAGTGAATGAATGTCCCTAGAATAAAAAAAAGAGAAACGGATAAAATCAAAAACATTTGCTTTTCATCTAATTGTTTGCATTTACCATTCCATGAGCAACAAGTATAGTAGCAAAAAAACTTAACAATTGTGCAATAGCCATGAGAGTAAATCCTGTAGCATATTTGGCATTGATATATGTATAAAGTAATACAGTAATGACAATTCAATTTGAAGAAAGTAATACATACTAACAGCTTCTAGTCGCCCCCTATTTTGGAATAGCACATTAATTTTTTTTAAATCATTAACTACGTAGGTATTTAAATCAGTTAAAAACCAATAATTGATGATAAAACAGTAACTATAACGATAAGTAAACCAATTAGTGGAAAGATTCGAAGAGTAGTCATGATAATTTTCAGTAATGTTTGAATTGGATTAATCGAGTATATGAAACTGACGTTGAATTACATATGCAAAATAGCTCGATCAGTTTTCTGTCTTCAATTTAGATAGAATGAAATGAAAACGAGAACGAAAGAGACAAAAAGATGAAACCTTTGACTTGAAGCAATTTATTTGGTCTATAATTAGAAGAGCAGCATTTGTATGTCAGTTAGAAACTACAGAAAAGAAAAATAAATTCACTCTCTTTCTTGTAAAGATACATTAATAACACCGTATGCGGAGAGATAGAATGGGTTCATCATCGAAACAAGTGCAAAACACAGTTGTTCAGACATTATCTGATTAGACACAGGAAAGATCACCCTTTAATACAGTGATTCTGGATTATCCAAGAGAAATGCAAGCTCAAATACCGAAAAGAAAGATAAATATAAAATAGATAAACATGAAATTATTGAAAGCCGAATAAATGATGACAAAATTGACATCCATGGAAGACATATCATTTCATATTTCTGTATACTAAAATAGATTTCTGAGATTCAACTGAATTCACTCCATAATTACATTCGGGTTGACTTTTAAAAAAATGTTCAGTTCATTTTTTCTAACAGAAATTACCACTCATTGTGTATTTTTCCACAATTGATGTCAAAATCAATATGTTATCAATCTCTTGGTTCATATTTATTATAGATTCCAAAAATATGAAATGATTTTACAATCCATCATACTTCTCTACAATCTGCTACAAACCTCAAAATAACTCTAAACTTCTAGATGATATCGATTCAGATACTGTTATAGGATAGGTTTTGATCCTTTCAATTTTCTAGTGGACATGTTTCGAGACGAATATAAAGAATTGTTTTACTTCTTATATTTTTTCCCTAGGCTATAAGAATACGATCTAGAAATAGACATTCACTGATATATATCTGTAACTTTGTTAGAGAGACTTTCTAGTAGCTATTGTATTACAAACATTTGAGTATAAATTGTAAAAACTGTATTCACAATTTACTGTCCGCAGGTTTATTTTCTGATGATTATTTCGTAGCGAAGAAATGTGAAAATAATTAATAATTTCAACAATTAATGTATTGTCAGAAAAAAAATTCCACTAAACTTTCGGTTCGAAATGAACAGTGTTCATTAAAATGAAGACTAAAATAATCATTAGCATAATAATCTTTGTAAACATGAGTAAAATACCCATGATACACAACTCAATTCTCGTACGTTTGTTAAACATCTCTGAACATACGTGCGAAAAAGAAAATTTATGACAAATGAATGTTAAATGATATTGTGTCAAGGCTATAATGGAGTTCATCGTGAAACTCCAACTTTCTTCAAATCTGCGTGATTGAAATATTTTCAGCATCAATGACAAAAGTTAAATAAATATTTTACTTTATTAATTTTTCTACTTCTTCGTATATACATATATTGTTTTACTTTTTTTTTCTGTCGGATACATCGATTGTCATAACGACTACACATTTGCTCTTGTCTTTTCATAGAAATAATATACAACCATATACGATAGACCAACTGGAAAACAAATTAGGAAAAAACGTTTTGAATACAATGAACTAATACAAAGATTGATAACGAGATAGATATGTCACTGAAAAATTAATAATAGTTTTCATACTAGTTAATCACATTGCATCTATAAGAGCATGTATATGCAATTATGTAGTTAATATGTTATTGGACATGGTATCTGAAGCGAATAATTGTTAGCAATTCGTCTAACATCATTCAATGAATAAAAGTAATGAGGTTTATGCATACATGTTGAACAACATAGATATTCAGGCATGAAGGCATCTCTTACTTTTGACTATATAACTTCAGTTACAAAAAGAATTATTCAATAAACCTTCGAAAATATTCAAATGAACTAGTCAGAAAACTATTTCTATGATATCATATAGAAGATATCTACTTCATTTTTTCGATAGTATTTTTAGTAAATTGAAAAGATTAGAAGTTAGTAATTATAGATATCTATAAATAGCCATGAATAATAGTATACCCTGTATCATTTTTTTTGAAACAGAACTGTCACACATACACAGATAATCAAATAGTTTTTTCATGGAAAGAGAGCCGTGTATATATCTTCAATTCACATAATTAGCTACAATCAATAAGAAAGTGAATAAATTATTATGATTCATATATTAGAAAGAATACCTTCAATTGAACTTATACATATCCTTACTTTTTTTATTAATATCAGATAGTATTGCCATACAAGGTCTGTATCTCAATATTTTTCAATGTACATCGTAAATATGTAATTACTAAACGAAACATATAACACATGTTTGTCATACTCCACTAGTTTCTTGTATATTACCAACTGTCAAAAGTAATAAATAATTGCATACCAAAAAGAAATGATTGGTTATCATCAATATCGACGATATATGGTAAACCCATGCTGCCTTCACATATTGGTTTTTATGATTGGATTCTTGATAGTTTCTATACCTTCTTCAGTTCTCATTATGCATCAAACAAAACAATATTTTAGAAAACCTTATATTATGTATAAAGAAACAAAGCAACAACGTATTGCAAAAGAATTCAATAATATCTATGAAAATTTCTCTCAATGGAATTCACCTTTGTGTAATCATGCATCCTATCGTCATGGACCACATCAAAAAGTAATTGCTATTTCAGTTTATGGAAAAGAATCGAAATTTATCGATAATCCAATGTATTCGTGGAAAACAAATATTATACCATTTTTGGAATCTCTTGTTAATGAAATTAATACATTACTTCCACAATGGATTCTTCGTGTTTATATCGATTTTACTGGTAGTAAAAAATCTCAACGAAAACTTCTATGGAAATTTTCGAATGTTGATATTTGTGACATGAATAATATTCCTATGTTTGGTTCATCTTTACGTAAATTCTTACCAGGTAGAATGTGGCGATTTTTACCAATATTTGATCCATATGTTGATTATTTATTGTCACGTGATCTTGATTCACCAATAACTCAACGTGAAACAGAAACAATCAATATGTGGCTATCACAAGAACAAGAAAACAATTTTTTCTATATTGCTCGTGATAATATTCAACATGGAGTGTTTATATTAGCTGGACTTTGGGGTGCAGCTTTGATACGTGCTTCTGATACTTTAATTGATATTTTTAAACCGATGCTAATACCATCAATAGTACAGAATTATCACAATAAAAGTGATCAAACATTTCTAAACGATTATGTTGGAGACCGTGTTAGAAATAATTCTCTAATATTTGATAGTTATCATTGTGAAAAACTTGGTGGTCAACCATTTCTTTCTCAACGACCAATGAATGGTTGTTATCTTGGATGTATAAGACCATGTTGTAACAATGCAACAAATGTTCCTGTTCGTGAAACTCAAATACCTTGTCCGATAAAATGTAGACCGAACGATCATCTTGATTGGATTTATTGTTAATATTTTGAGTTGTTTTTGGCGAGTAATTTAATTTATTTAAATAGAAAAGTTGTTAGAGTAACTACTGTGGGATTAAAATATGAAATCTGATGTAGTTGCTGCTGCTAATCACTGCGAGACGGTTATATTCTATCTATTTAGAGACACATTTCTTCATATATTTTTTTTACTTAATGCTCGATATATGCAATAACGAAGTAGTTTACACATATTTTAACAAAACGTTACTGATATATGATTTTCGATCGTAAATCAGCAACGTCAGTCACGCTCTATAGAGAGGGGAGTGGGTTGAAACTTTTACATTACATATCTCAACATTTGTTAGATTGTGTTTCGCAAAAAAACCTACTGAAATCAGTTTAAATATTTTCTTGAACGAACTACAGCATCTTGCTCAAGTTTAAATTGAGAAATTAAACGGCTCTTGATTAACTCACGAGCTTTACATGATTTGTCTTTGAATAGCTGCATATCCTACTCTTCAAAATTTCATAGTCTATTTCCAATAAAATGTCTGTCAGTATCAACGTCATAATCACAGTAATTCTAGTGATGATTAAGTTCAAGTCTCCTGCAATTGCAGAATCCTAAAGTATCAGGGAGGTGCTATAAAACTACACTAAATGACTAAAGCAGGGCTGCCAGCTTAGAAATTTGGTTATGCTCAGAAAGGTCTAAAATATATATTGAATCATAGTAGAAGTAGTGATGCATGCAATTATGATAAAACATCCCTTATCAAAGTTATTTGTGGTATAAATCAACTCAATAACTCTGCAAAGAAAATTTTACTTTGAATACGTTTTGTCTCGAATGGTACAGCTTTCGTTATTATGAAATAGCAAATAAAGCAGTTTAGAAACAATGTCTACAACGCACCAGTGTTTCGAGCAAGAGTGATTCCAATCGTAAAAGATTTTCATTTTTGCTTCGTCGAAGTTATAGCATTCCATAGTTGTTTGCTTACCAGTTCTTAAAAGAACGGTCTATGAAGCCAAAAGCCGATCAACTTGAGCAAAAGTATTCAAATCGGTGTCTTGAGTCATCAATTTACCCGTTCTGAGAACTCGGGACATCTCTATTACATGATACTCAGTAAAACTTTCATTAAAATGAAAATAAAATTCTATAAACAAAACTCGAATCACTTGAACGATTAATGTTCTTTTACGCGAGTGAACTTTTGAGACACCCTGTATATCGAATCATAAGAAACATTTTTGGATTTTTTTTATTGTGTTATAACGGAAAAATTGTTGCTGCCTATCATCTGTTGGATTCGATGAATTCATTAAAAAAATAAAATATCATTTAAAAAGGTTTGAATACAATTCTGACAGAATTCTAATATGAAAAACAATAAAGTTACTTAGAAAAATTCATTCAGTATTTTTTCTAGCTTGAAAATTGAGTTAGGCTCACTGGAGTTTGCGTTTATTATACGGCGTAAATATCCATAATGAATTTAATCGATACTATATTAAAATTCGAACACTTTTGTTAGTTGATACAAAAACATTTCGCGAAGAACTTACAATAGCGTTGAGATCTGACGCCTTATCATATCGAATAGTTACAAGATGTCCAAAGAATTTGCATGAACGACTTTTCGTGATTGATCACAGGATTTATATCATGTTATTATAGTTAATGAGACATGAATTTTTCATGGACAGATTGAGTGCAAGTCAAATAACCCAATGTGGATTAGTAAAGATGAATAATCAACTACTATTGTTCGCCGAAGTATGTTTGAAGAAAAATCTTTGCTTGCTATATTTTATAAATTAAATAGCCTTATTCGTATACATAATGTAGACAAAAACAAAAATATAGAACACATATGTTTAGATTAAAAATTGCTTCAAGCATGTTGTTAATCAAATATGGTAACAAAGAAAGTCATTAGGTGCAAGAAATAGAATATTACTTCAGGATAATGCTCGATTTCATACTCAAACACATGTTATTAATTATTTAACATAATAAGATATCAATATATTTATCTCAAGCATAATTTAGCCAACTGGATAAATGAAAACTCATTGATTGGTATAGTTTTCAACATAGGTAAAAATATTTCAGGAGAAGAATTTACAAAAACATTTGACAAATTCTTACCAAGGATAGAACTTTTGGTTAACTCTAAGTATGCTTGTGCATCTAAAAATAGATGGTCGTCTTTTCGGAAGAGGAAATGTGTATAAAACATAGAAGCAATTGATTGAGAACTTCATATCAACACGTGAAAGTTTCGTCACGTGTCTTTCTGTTTATCTTTCTTATTGTACTGTAAAATTCTTTCCCGAAAACATCGAAACATGATTAGATGTGTCAATCGACAACTGACAATTAGTTAGGAAAACATTCTATCTGATAAGCAGCAATAGCAACTTTCGCTCCACAATTACAATGCATGCTGAGTTCATTTCTCAAAAGAAGGATTCATTTTTCATGAAAGAAAAATGCATTAAGTTGAGCAAATAGATAATTCAAACTATTCAAAGCAAGTTTATCATCATTGGATTTATTTTCTTACATCAATCTTTTTTTCTTTTCCTTCTTATCAATATCAATTTCTTCTTTTCTCGTATAAAATTCATTTTATTCGAAATAAAACATTGCCAATAATATTTATTACAGTTTTCTGTTTTAAATAATAGAACAATACACAAACACATATACAATTTTAAAAAAAAGAAAATGTATTGCAGCTGAATTAAATATAATAATTAAGAAAAAAAGACATAGGATTTCATTGTAAGCTATCATCATTTCAAGCTTATGCATTTACAAATAGAATGCATTCAGTATAAATGTTTTTTCTTTTGCAATTCATTTAAGTAATTACAGTGAATGAATGTCCCTAGAACAAAAAAAGAGGAATTAATAAAATGAAATATTTATTTTCATCTAATAATTTCTATTTACCATCCAATGAGCAACAAGCATAGCAGCAAGAAAACTTAAAAATTGTGCAATAGCCATGAGAGTAAATGAGTATCCTGTAGCATATTTGGCACCAAAATATAGATAAAGTGATATAGCAATGAGAATACCACTTGAAAAAAGTAATATAACCGATATAATACCACAAAGACGTGCTACACTATTGTTTGCATCTGATTTATTTCTTGAAAAACCACTGAATATAGCCAAAATAGCTGCAATACAAATGGCAATGATAGCCTAAAAAGAAAAAATCAAATCAGTAATAAAACAAGATTTTATATGTACCACAATAGCCAGAGCTGCTGGTCGTCCACCATTTATTCGTATACAAATCCCACCGTCACATCTTTCCCAAAGACCTATCGAAAAACAAAGTTTTTTGTCAAATTAAAACACTAGTTTTATTTTAAATCATTTACCTGCATGGGTATTAAAAGCAGTAAAAAACCAATAGTTAGTTGCAATACCAATAACTGCTAATACAACAGCAGCTATAGCAATAAGTGCACCAATAAATGGAAAAATTCGAAGAGCAGCCATGATAATTTTCAGTGAAGTATTTTAAAAAAAATTTAATCTAGAATATAAAACTGATGTTGAATTATATTTGAAAAATAGTTTGATCAGTTTTCTCTCTTCAATTTAGATAGAATAAAGTAAGAAAAAAAAAGAATATGAGAGAGAGAAAAAGAAATGAATCGTTCGATTTGGAACAACTCATTTTAAATGTGTAATGGAAAGAGTAACATTTGTATGTCGGTTAATAACCAAAGAAAAGAAAAATAGATTAACTCTCTTTCTTATAAAGATACAAAATAACACCATATGCGGAGAAATAGAATGGGTTCGTCATCGAAACGAGTGCAATAAGTATAAAGTGTGTGGATATATGTTTATTGGCAACGCAAAACATATTTGTATATTCTTTCGCAGTTTATTGCCATTAGTATCCGAGACGTAACATGATAAGACAGAAGGCGCAAAAAGAAATGTTAAGGATTGTTTTAGGTAATAATTTTCAGTCTAAAATATATAAATTTGTGCAATTGAGATTAGAAAACAAATGTTACTTTGAAAATAGATCATAAAGATATAACTTCAAGTCAAGAGAACTTAATTTCAAATTATTGTCTAACGTTTCTATATTTAACAGTTGAGATTGTAATAATTACGTTGAAGAAAACATTTTCCCTTGAGAAAATATTCTCTAAATAGAATGGTTTGATCAGATGCGTCATAGAAAACAAAAAAACAACAAGGAAAACGAAATACAATATTATAAAGAATTATAAAAGAAGTATGTCTATTCGTTCACATTGATTCATTGAAACGAGAAATAGTAATCAATTGAACGGGCATATATGATTACTTGATCAGAATAGACATATTCACAATGTGAGAAAGAACAACATACTATGTTACTTATCTTCATATATTGAGTTTCAATATCGAATAGTTCTTCTTTGTACACAACATTAATGAAATCGTATTTTACTATAGACAAATGTAACTCTATCTAATGTCCGTCCAAAAAGTCCGTGCGTGTGACTATTTTTTGAATAATTTTTGATAGGAACAAGATACAGACCTGCGGTTTTCGGTGTTCGATAGCCAAGGCAAAGAGGCATCTTATCACTATGAAAAGCGTTTCTGAGGAACAATTTCGAAGTCAGTTTATCACAAGATCTTTGAGAAGTTAGATTGGATTTCTCAAAACTTGCATGGAGACCTATTGATATTTTTACATATTTGGAATCTCCACTAAAAACTGAGTCAACTCATATATGTTTTGAATCGTTTCGCGACACTTTTTTTCCATCGAAAACTTCTGCCCTAGGAACCCGTCAATAAATAAAGTTCGTCAAAACGCCGTTTCTATCATTTAATCTTGCGCCATTTTGTGTTATAGTAGCATTTTACAACTTCGGAAGTTGCTTTCCACTGTCCAAGTGATCTTTTGACTAACTTTATTTATAGACGGGTTCCTAGGGCAGAGGTTTTCGATGGAAAAAACGTGTCGCGAAACGATTCGAAACATAGATGAGTTGGGTCAGTTTTTAGTGGAGATTCCAAATATGTAAAAATATCAATAGGTCTCCATGCAAGTTTCGAGAAATCCAATCTAACTTTTCAAAGATCCTGTGATAAACTGACTTCGAAATTGTTCCTCAGAAACGCTTTTCATAGTGAAAAGATGCCTCTTTGCCTTGGCTGTCGAACGCCGAAAACCGCAAGTCTGTATCTTGTTCCTATCAAAAATTATTCAAAAAATAGTCACACGCACGGACTTTCTGGACGGACATTAGAATCAATTATCTCTTTATTTTTTTTCTTTTTTTGGTGCACAGTTTTTTTTTATCACTTTTATTTTTACTCATCAGCATTTACATAGGGATACCATGAATTTCTTTTTTTTTGTGAATCCCATACACAAATATGATAATAACAATATTGATCTATGACTAACGAACGAGAGAAAAAGATATGAGTAATACAAAGACCTTGAAGAAGTTTTAATGTAACATATGTGTCATATCGCAGTTACACTAGTTGACGTAGGTTATAATGTCGACATTATTATTTATCGATGCTATTTCGGATCAAATGATTGATGATGTTTTACTCGGAATATATATTTAGAGTCAGTTAGTTTTTCATTTTATAAAATACGTAGATCTTCTTTTTTTACGAGAAAATGTTTTTCAAAAAAATCAGATTTATACTTTATTAAATGTTTTACATGATTGTAGATCTATTCAAATAACGTTAAGTTGTATAGCTTATGATAAAAGATATTCGTAATTTTGTCATCTGATTAAAATAACTTTTTCACAAGATTTTTGTTCATTTTTGACGCATTTTCAATGAGTCAAAAGCCATGAGTTAGGATGGTGATCTTTTCGAATATGATCTTAGAAATTTTGTTCAACAATAGGAAAATAATCCTCGAAAAGCTTATAGCCTTAACTAGAAACAAATTACAATTAGTGATGTATGAGATCAATTGTTTTTGATCCTGGTCCTGATTAGAAAAAACGTTTGACTATAGTGTTGTGTTTAGTAATACATGCATTAGTAAAAATGCGATATAATTCTCTAGAAGGGGTCAATGCGCACGAAACATCTTGCACGACCTGTTTAACTCACTAATACTTTGTCTATTCTGCACGTTTATGCGTTCGATAACCTTGTTATTTATGAAAAAAGGATTAATTTTACTATTATAGTTGTAAGAGCAAATATCAAAATAATCCTTACTCAATAATGTGTGCATAAACGTTTAGAACACATGAATCATGAGAATGTGACATTTGACGTAAGTCTTACATGACCATAAAATACATATATCACTCCCAACGGAAAAGTGTTGGTCCTAATCGTGAGACCATCTTGCTTGTTTGTAATTACAACTTACGAGGAAACATATCCAGATGTCGAATCGCTTTTGAATAGAGTATAGGCTCAAACAATAGACCTTCATGAGCTATTAAATAACCTACAAGGGTATGGTTGTTCAAGCCTCCTAAGCCGAAATATAAGATTGTTACTATTACTAGTTTTGCTATACTACTCTACTAATGTATTCGATATCTTGACTAAACATACTCCAATCCAACTCTAATTTACATCAGTACTACAGCAGTCAGAACCGATCAAGATCCTAGAGTTTCAAGATAAAAGATTCTTTCGAAACAAAGATATGAATTTGTTTGGTATACTGATTGATTTTGAAAAAATAGCATGTGATTTTACTCAAAGATGCAAGTATAGATTCGTCTTCTATTTGCAACACACATTCATTTCATAGTGAGCATGCATGTAAAAATATCAGCTCAAATGTCGGTGCCTCAGTTAATAATAAAAGGTAGAATAAATTCGTATACTTTTCAACATGAAAAAATTTTATTTTGTTTGAATAAGTTCTTTGCATAGAGTCACTGATGGTCGAAATCGACAAAGAGAGAGATAATTGGCTTCTCATGTAACTCAAAAGAGAATGGTATATAAAGTGAAAGAAGGAGTGACTAGAGGAGCACATAGTTGTGATGAATATATAATAGCTTCTAATATTGCAAATAGGATATGTCTGATTCTCTCTCATTGGTGTTCATTCGGTGCAGTTATTATGCTTATATTATATATATGGAACATTTTTTCAACAACTGTCAAGTTGACTGATTCACTGACTTACTCTATTCTCTTCGTTTTTGTCGATTCTATTTTAATTAATAAATATGTTATTGGAAATCGATCGCACAATGAAAATCACATAATTTTATTCTTCTAATCCTCATTAACTGAAGCACCGACAGTTGAGCTGACATTTCTACATGCATACTCACTATGAAAGGAATGTGTGCTGCAAATAGAAGGTGAATCTATACTTGCATTTTTGAGTAAAATCAACATGCTATTTTTTAATAATCAATCAGTATACCAAACAAATTCATATCCTTGTTTCGAAAGAATTCTTTATCTTGAAACTCTAGCATCTTGATCAGTTCTGACTTCTGTAGTACTGATATAAATAGGAGTCAGAGTAGAGCATGTTTAGTCAAGATATCGAATACATTAGTAGAGTAGTATAGTAAAACTCGTGATAGTAACAATCTCATATCTCGACTTAGAAGTCTTGAAAAACCAAAGCCTTATAGGTTATTTAATAGCTCATTAAGGTCTATCGTTTGATCATATACTCGATTCAAAAGCGATTTGACACCTGGATATATTCCCTCGTCAGTTTAAAAAAAGGTAAAGTTTACAGGTAAGATGTGATTTTCTATATTTTATCCATAGTACACCTTATGAGAGAGCCATAAGTAGGACTTGATGCGACTAGAGAAACCCCATAAGTATTTATTTTCATGGGTCTACCTGATTGAGATAAGATGCTTCAAGTGTAGGACCAGAAGTGTAGATCAACTGCTTCTCATGCTTAAATTACAACATCGTAGCATTTCAAAGGGTGTGCGTGCGTGTGGGTGTGGGTGTGGATGAGTGGATGTGAGGGAATACAAGAACCACACCTACACTCACACCCCACACCCACACCCACCCACACACCACACCCACACCCTTACAGTAACAATAACACTAGTTATGGAATGTTTAACACGTTCATATCTTTGTCGTCATCGTCCAGCATCTGTTTATATTGGTTCAATTGGTAAATCAACTGAATGTGTTGAACAAATTATTATTTTTGAAGCTTTTTAAGTTTCTATTAGAGCGAAACACGTTCAGAAAGTCGCGATTTAGCTTTTAGCTCAATTAAAACAAAGTAAAAAAGATATTCTTGTTGCAATAGTTGTTGCTGATTTTTCATAAAAAAGGAAATAAATATCATTTAAATTGTTTTAGATTATAACCTCTGTATAAAAAGACTTCGGACAAAATATATGTTCAATTTTCTTTCATTTTTAAGCTGCAGGAGACAATCAAAAGTAGTCAGCTAGAATGAAAATTTTGTGCTCTTTCTAAATATACAGGATGGTCCAACAGTTACCTACCAGTCTTAAATTGCGAATACCTTTTGATAGGAACAAGATCTAGACCTGCGGTTTTCACCATTCGAAAGAGCGGTGTTCGGACCATCGATCTATATAATATTCACTAAGACGAAAGATGCTTTTCATAGGAGTTTTTTAATTGACATTCTTTTTTTTTTGTGTATTTTCATAAATTTTCACAATAATCTCGTCTCAAATTACGCCAAAATGTAGCTCAAATCACCCATTTTTTGCTACACAAGTATCACTATTTTTCGAAGGCTCACTTGAGAAAAGAGGTCAACGGAACAATGCATAAAGTGATCATTTTATAGCGAAAAATGGGTGATTTGAGCTACATTTTGGTGTAATATGAGACGAGATTATTGTGAAAATTTATGAAAATACACAAAAAAAGAATGCCAATTAAAAGGCTCCTATGAAAAAATAGGTATTCCTATAGCTGGTGTTCCACCGTATATGCAAAATCAACTTTGTAACTGAGATTTTCTCAATGGAAAAGCACTTTTCCGTTTCAATCCTCTACCTTCACCCACACACAGTGCTGTATTACCGAGAAAAACCAGAAAAGTGCTGCTCCTTTGAGAAAATCTCAGTTACAAAGTTGATTTTGCATATACGGTGGAACACCAGCTATAGGAATACCAAAAAGTATCTTTCGTCTTAGTGAATATTATATAGATCGATGGTCCGAACATCGCTCTTTCGAATGGTGAAAACCGCAGGTCTAGATCTTGTTACTATCAAAAGTTATCCGCAATTTAAGACTGGTAGGTAACTTTTGGACCACCCTGTATATTCAGAATTGTTCACTGACTTAAAGTTGGTTCTGAAAGAGCAAATCTTTGATGGGAACCAAAAACAATGTTTGTACAAAACACTGGTTTCAAAGGTATTGATATCCATTTGAAATTAAAAGAGACGGTTAGTGTTGATCGAGTATCTCCATAACGATCATAGCTAGAGATCTGTGTTTCTTTTTGTTCGATAGCTCTCTATCGGGCAAGTCATTTATGTGCTAGGAACGAAAATTTTCAAACATGTCTTCATGGAGTGTGAGGGCTTTTTTTCGAAAAAAATTGAAACACGGAGGGTGTTAAAGAGATGGATTTCGACCCCTAATTATTGCAAACAGTAGGCTAGACTGTTGTCTTCATTCAATAAAAAGCCGCGCTTTTCTACGATGTTCTGTTAGAAAACGCCAGCATCTCTCGTGAAACCCCCAAAAAAACTTTATTTTGCCCTCAGGAACATGAAATATTTCATCCAGCAAGCATTTCAGATGATTATTTCTAACTTTTCAAGCACGAGTTTCATTAGAGATATTCTTAGCTACTTCATTCCTCAAAATGATATCGATTCAGATAGCCCATTTGTCCTACTGTGACATATCATTGGCTATTTTTCAGTGAAGTCTTTTACTATGGTATTTATTGAAGCTGGATTATGTGATAGAAAGATTATTCAGAAGTGTTAGGATCAGCTGATGCCATCTATCACTTTTGTGCGTTCTTCTATATGGTGTGATTTTCTTATTCTTCTATGACGTCATGTACTTTCATTACATCATATGCACTCTTCCATGATGTCAGGCATTCTTCTACTTTGATATATATATATATATAGTTTATTGCGGCATGCATTCTTTACGTCATATGTATTCATCCATGACGTCAGATATTCTTCTGTATTCTTCCATGAAATCAAGTATTCTTCTATTCTCTTGTCTGTACTCTCTCTCTTCTCTCTCAGACCTTTTCTATAACACGCTCTGATATTTCAAGACCTATATATAGTCACTGATTTTCTACAGTAAAGCATGTGAATATATCGGATACAATTATAATTGGCTATTATCCAACAGAAGCAATAATATTTCTGAAAGAATCAACTTCACAAGATTTTCTCGAATTATTATTCTCTCAATCATTTGGAAATTTTCGTGTCAAATATGCCTAAAGGTGAAAAATTCTCTGTCGAACAAAAGAAGCTCATGTTTCGAGTGATCGACTTCATCGAATCCGAGAGATGGTCTGAAGATACCTCTGACAAACACAAGCGCTCGAGTGATGGCTCACTTGAGAATTAGCTACAGCTCTGTTCACAGATTGAAAAATGAATTGGAAGAACTTCGACAAGAACAGAGAATGGAGAACAGCAGCCAAGATGAATAGATGGTTTCCGAAGCCAGCATGATTCGTACCCGAGCCCAGTCTGCCTCTGCGTCCGCTCCCACTGGCTTTTGAAAAACAAAAAACACTTGGTCTGCGAGAAAACTCGCTCTAGCCGCCTCCTGCACCAATATTCCCATGCCCATCGCACCAAAGAAGGAAGGTAATGTCGGACGGCAACGAGTTGTTCTTAGTGAAGTTGGTGGAGATGCTATTCGTTATCATTTCCATTTGATTCTGATAAGAGTAAGCAATGATACTTATTTCATCCTATGCACTTCATTTCAAAGGCTGAGCGACGCTACCCAACTGTCCGCAGTCTTCTAGCAAGCCTTTTGACGGAGCATCTCGATTTTCCTATCAAATTCGAAACGAGTCTTTGGCGACAGATGAAGCGACTCGGTTTTAGTTACAAGCAAACGAACAAAGTGACTATTCCACTCGACTCAGTATCGTTTGTTGCTGAGCGAGCGGCCTATTTTCGTCGTCTTGATGATCTTCGAAGGAATCAGGCATTCATTTATTATCATGATGAAACATGGTGCAATGTTGGGAAAGAGAAGCGCTCAATTTGGGTTAAAGAGGTAGGACAAGGACGACTTCGGAAGAACGATGGCAAGGGAAAGCGGTTGGTAATCTCAGCAATGATCAACGAAGAAGGTTTCCATAGGAGAGCGTAGATATGTTCACATGCTACGTTGATCATACAATGGTGAGTTAAAGACACTTCCTTTGCAATCGAAAACGATTCTCTTGACAAACGATCTAAAATTCAAGCCATTTTATTGAATGGGTTTCGGTCACTGTCTCGCAATTGCGCTTGAAACACAGACCACGAGCTTGAATAGCGATCGTGATTGACAATGCAACTTGGCACAACCAATTGACGGACGATTCAATACCACCGAAACAACTTTGGCGAAAGTCAGCACTTCATGGTTGGCTCAATAACAGAGGGGGTTACATTTGATGCAGCATTCACAAATGCTGAACTACTCGAGCTGGCGTTCCAACATCTTCCACTCAAAAAGTACCTGACTAATGTTGCAGCTGCAGAATTCAACGTCGAGATCGTCCGCCTTCCAATCACGCATTGTGTACTGAATCCAATCGAACTATGCTGGTCACAACTGAAAAACTACGTTCGCCGAAACAACACCTCATTTCGGCTGACCGATATCAGCACTCTTTCTCAAGAGTACATCGCAGCACTAGACGATTGCACGGCCTTTATTGCTCATGCTGGCAAGGCGGAAATGACATGTCAAGAAGCCGACAAATATGTGAAAGAAACGATCGATTCTGAAATTGTCGATACCAATACCGAGGATGAAGAAGAGTTTTCGATGGACTCTAGTAGTGAAGATGATATTTAATTCGAAAAAATAAAACTAAATGATTTATCTGCTGAAAAATAGCCAATGATATATCACAGTAGGACAAATGGGCTATCTGAATCGATATCATTTTGAGGAATGAAGTAGCTAAGAATATCTTTAACGAAACTCTCGTGCTTGAAAAGTCAGAAATAATCATCTGAAATGCTTGCTGGATGAAATATTTCATGTTCCTGAAGGCAAAATAAGGCTTTTTGGGGGTTTCACGAGAGATGCTGGCGTTTTCTAACAGAACATCGTAGAAAAGCGCGGCTTTTTTTTTGAATGAAGACAATAGTCTAGCCTACTGTTTGCAATAATTAGGGGTCTAAATCCACCTCTTTAACACCCTCAGTGTTTCGATTTTTTTCGGAAAAAAAGCCCTCAAACTCTATGAAGACACGTTTGAAAATGTTCGTTCCTAGTACATAATTTACTTGCCCCATAGAGGGCTATCGAATAAAAAAAGCCGCAGATCTCTAGCTATTATCTTTATGGAGATATTCGATCAACACTAACGGTCTCTTTTAATTTCAAATGGATATTAGTTATGACTAGGGTGTCAACATTAAATGGGTGATTCTTTTTCTTCTCATCTTTACTCATTCTATACTAATTGTAGCCTAGTTCTTTCGGCTGGAACTATGTCTAAATTGTTACTGAACATATTCGTAAGGCATAATATGTCATAATTATTTGCATTAATGAGAGAAACAAGAAAATATATAAATGAACATAAATGTGATGCTTATCGTTTCATGAAATTGTTTTAACCTGTACTGTTACGTTTATTAGGAAATCTAAAATTAGATGATTCATTTTTATCATTTTCATGGAAAATACAAGATAACATAATATCAATTCATTTTTAGACATTCTTTTTTTTTACATACTTTTACTTGTAACT